AACAATTAATTATGTTTAATGGGGTAGATATATAGGTAGTAGCTAGAAGGTAAGACCTATTAGTCTATTGACACTATATCTTCAAAAGTTTAATATTCACTCACTATGAATATAAATATGATAAAGAATATGTCCAAGTGCAAGTAGCAGTAGTAACTATAAGATGTAAAATAAAATAATAGTAAATATGTGAATTTAAACTATCACGCTCGCTTATGATTGTTCTTTTTTGCTTATGTTGAAAAAATATTCACTAAGATTGTGAACTTCACCGCAATCGACCTTTACAAAAGCCAGTAACTTTTAATACGTTGCCTGGTGCAAGTAATAGTATAAACTCGAAGGTATCGTTTTAATTTGTCGGATTGCTTCTGTCTGTCTGGACACGATGTAGAGTGAATGCTCATTGCTTGTAACGATCAAAGCCGAACTCTCACGACACGGCGTCGGTTCACCGATGTTATAAATAGATGTTGCTCGGCAATCGACTGCTCAGTGAGTAACTAAAATTTCTCCTTGCTGTACAACTGTTGACGCGATTCGCGTTTCGCGCGAACAGCGAACGAAAACGTTGAACACATCGTTGCGAAACTATCAAAACATTGAAATGCCGACGGATGTTATATCGTCGGCATGCCGCGCCGAACACTTCGGGCATGGGCTCAGAAGGAAAATGGGAGACGGCGAAGTAAAGTCTGGTTTCTTGGTGCTGTTGGGGCCGGGCGGTATGCGGCAGGACGTGCGCGTGGTCGTCTACAGAACCTCTTTGGAGCATTTTGCCGTAATTTATCCGAGGAAGAGGCTTACAAAACCTATTGGAGTTGTTAACCTCCGTAATACGGCAGTAGAAAGAGTGGACTCGAGCAGCGGTTTCGTGGTACGCCAGAAGGGATACGATAATACAGTGTCCGCTAGATTTTTGTGTTCGGAACGTGAAGTGGAATCGTGGTTGACTGCATTCACGTCTCACGCATCCCCAGGATATCAGCACGTTAGTCTCCCGGTGCTCGTAGAAGGCGAGGAAAGTTAAATCATTACTCAATCATCGTCGGTTCAAGTGATTGATTTGTCGGTTCGCGAATGCGAATCTGCTAAGCGCCGAAACGAGGTTATGTTTGTTTTGCAATGAGATGAGAAAAAGTGAAAGCTCATTTTTTTCGAGCTCTCGAAAGTGCCAGTTCTCTGTAATGATTATGTATTTTAAACGCATGTTTCACGAAGTGACTCATTGCCAGTGATTTAGTTAGACACCCTCTAAATGTAATGTTTTTACACGTTTAGTGACTATTTTACATTAGTGCGATCACTTCTTACGGTGAAGCGACGGACCACGACATTTGATAATTACGAGAGGGATCAGTGGGTATACAAATTCTTCTTGTAGTATACCTACTTAACTGCAATTACTGTGTTCAATATACAAATAAGGCATAGACACACAGCCTGATCTTCCATAACATTTACCATGCTTTATTTTTTTAATTACTAAACAAAGATATTGGAATGTGTTGCTAGTTATAGAGAGACTAACAGCCAGTTGCACAAACGTCCATTAATTATTTCATTAGTTTAAAGCGACATTACCCGTATGAATTTGACATTCGTTAGAGAGCATTAAACCTTAATGGATGTTTGAGCAACTGATCGTAACAATATAATGATGAATGGCGCGTGAAAGCTTTAACCTTCAAAGTTGAATGAGCTTATTTATTATAAGTAGGTATAAAAAAAATAATCAATCGGAGAGTGAAGGGCAGGAGCAAAATAAACATAACATTTAATAACAATTTTGTATTAAAAGTAGTGGTATCAACTATTATCTGTGAACTTTTAGGATAAGTAACAATCAGATATTATTCGAGATACTTAGAACATAAAGCGTATGATAATTAATGAATAATAACGTAGTAATCTTAAGTAATTCAGTAAATGGGAAGTGTTAATTAGAATTCTCATCGACTTTACGTAACATAAAACGGTATCTTTCCTAAAATTTAGTCACAAAAATAACAATGGTGGTTAATTTGCATGAAATTAAATACTCTATCAGTAATAAAGAATAAACATTCCATTACTAATATGTCTTAATTAGGAATAGGATTGTTATTCGTTAGTTACAAAATGCAACTATTTTTATATATACAAAATTCACAAGTACTTATTTTATAAAATGATTAAATTAACATGCAGGGCCGGTTCCAGGTTCGTCTATTTAGGCAAACTAGGCAACTCGTATTTGGAGGGCGGCATGGAATTACAAACAGATTATGTTTGCTCCAATTATTTGAACCCTTTGATTTTATAGCAGTAGAGTAGCTCGGGGGCGTAGTGGATAAGGCCCGAGATCGTTGTTGTTAAGCAACTTTCGTACGGGTCGGTCACGAGATGGATGGCCAAAAAATTATTATCTCGAGCTACTTCGTACTTCGGAAGGCACTTCAGTCGTTGCTTCCGGCTGCATTTACAGTCGTCAATATATCACGTGTATTTCTTTTTTCCTCAAACGCTAGATTATACTAAACCGGAAAACGGTGTCAAAAATTAAGATTTTTATTTAGGTACTAAATATATACGTGATTTGGGTAGAGGGGTTTGTTTTAAATTTCACCATGTATCACCAAGGGGTAGGGGGTTTAAAAATGCTGAAAAAAACAACACGTGATTAATGAAAGGTCCCTAATCTGATTTGCTTTTGCCGTCACCTAAATACGAGTGCCCTATCCAAGGCAGTTGCCTAGTTTGTCTTTGTGGATGGGCCGACCCTACGTGTATACGTACATCAAATATAACTAACTTCAAATTGCCACAATATGTCAAATTTACTAATTTCAGTTTGTATTCTTCGCTCAATATAATAAGGTTTAAAATGGGGAGAAAATTTGACAGCTTTGTATAACCTGACGTGCTGTTGACTGTACTTGTAAATACATTACATCCAGGGCCACATTATCCACGTAGCAAAAGTAGTAAATGCTACGGGTCCCGCGAAATTGGAAACCTCGCTATGGTTTAGATTTTTCAAAATACTATTACAAAAATTTAGGACGCTTCTGTTTGTGTTTTTTCATTTCTTATAATTTTATGTACTTTTTTATATAAAGAAAAACATATAAATACCCGTGTAGCCGATGGCTTTGCGTAGAGCTTCTACAATAATCGTGATGGTCCGAATAAAATTTTCTCAGCATAATCCTTAAAAATCATTCGTTCTTTTTATTGTCAAGTAATACCTGTTTAGGTAATTAAGAAATCACTTACACAATAAGGATGATGATTATTTTTTTGTCTGTCTGTAAGGCAAGATTATTGAAGAATATTAAATATGTATTTATTTTGCGTAATCAATAAATTGCGTCGACATATTGAGTTTATATGTCGCATGAAATCACACTTTTGTACATTTTCTATACTTCGACGTAGCTAGCCCCCCTTCGTGTCAATTTTAATGCCCTATTATTTAAGCCGTATCTTGTTAGATTGAGGCAAAAAAATACGTATCTAATATTTTTCTCCGTCTTACTCACTGAGCAAATAAATTTTCTTTTTTTACCCAGGCTGCATCCTTTTTGCCAAACGGATTAGTGATTATTTATAATGATATTTTCCATTAAGCTGAGCCACATGGAGCCATAAGAAATATGAACTTTTTTATACCAAAATAATAAGGGTTCAAGTTGTTAAATTTAAAAATTTTTGTATTTATTGAACTTGTAATATTTGCCAAATTGATTAGGTTAGCGTTTGATAATTCTGAAACGTAACGTTAAATGTACGTAGTTGATAAAATATTTTATTACATTATTTATATATAACCATATAAATTAATAGATATATACATCAATCGAAATCAAAGGAGTATGTATTAACCTAATATTTGAACAGGCGTAAAAATATGAATAATGACGCAATAGCCAATAGATGGACATAGAATTTAATAATAACAATAAATGCTCTTTTATTGATTTATATAAATCAATTGAATCTGATGGTAGACGCTACAGGTTTTCAAGTAGCTGATCTCTAATAATAATATAAAATATCAATGTAATTTATTTTGCCCTAGTACTTACTCGGAATTTTCATGTGCTGGTACCCGATTTACACTTGGTGGGTTTTTCTAAATTCTTTAGTCTTATCATTTTAAAAAGTAAAAGAAAGAAACAAAAGAGGGCCATACACGGACGGATGAAAAAAACAGTACAAAATTAGTCTCAGGGGAGCTATTTTGGAAAAATTCCGAACCCGAATTCGAATTCACTCATTCACTCACGATTAATCGCTAGTCTGAAATTGACGGTTCGTAACACAAGCCTTCTTTATGAGCGCACGCATTAGTCGATGACGATGCAAGCACATTGTATGTAGTTGTGCATATTTAGCTATCAGCTATATCTAAACCGCGTACATTTTAACGGAGCATGGTTGCAGTCTAATAGCTCATTTAAAATGGTTTTGACGACTACATTGTACATGCGTGACACTTCTATAACTCGCTTTTCTTAGTTAGTCATTGTTTTTCGACAAATAATGCTTACGAGTATAATGAGGTCGCCTACAGACCAGTGTAACTGAGCCATAACAGGATAATAATAATAAATAATAATAATAATAACTCTTTATTTCACTTTTAAAATTACAGACAATGGTGACTATTTTAAGAAATTACAAGGAAATTTATGTAACTTAGTAATATGAGCCACATCTGCCAAACTAGGGTCAGCCTGTATTTTGGGAGTTGCGATTGAATTGAAGGATGAAGGTGCAATATAAGTAGTCACGTAGGTTTTGCGTAGGCCAATTCAACTGACTATAATAAATTGTAATAAGTAGGCGTTGTTGCTAATTAAACGGTCGTTTGATCCAGACGGTGACTCTTACAATTGAACAGTCTTGTCACAAATGTTTCAGCTCATAAACAAATTAGAGATAATTAGTTTTTACGAGTTCTTAGACCTTTAACAACGTAAAGAATCTTTTATGAAGAAGCTCAAAGCTACCCAATAATCGATAATTATATAAGTACCTACATAGTTGAAAGAAAGGGACGTCCCGAAGGTTGTGTTTTAAGCTCATTGATTACAGGAAGGTTTAAAAAAATTTAAAAAATTAATATTATTTAAAAAAATATGCTAAGAGCATATTAGAGCGAGTTAGCGTAGTGTTCCGTTCGAATATAAAATTTTTAAGTCCATACACTTGTGCTTGATTTTCTTGTAATCTGTATCTAAAACTGTTCTAAAACAACTGCTTGCATTTTTTTCAAAATTTTGGAACAAATTATGAAGTAACAGTTAATATTCAAGAATATATTTGAAATACTCGCAATAAGCATTTTATTTGATATGTCACACAATATAGATGGCGATTTATTTTTTGGAATTTTCTAATTTACTACCCAAATGGATTAGGTAAAAGTTGTACAACCGCTATCGGGGTTACCTATTTAAATATGGTTCAAATCATGTTTCAAATTAATCGGACCAGAAGTTTGGGAGAAAAATACAGCTGTGAGAGACGAACGGATAAACAATCGAGTTACCGCCAAGAGTTCGATTTTCATTTGAGATGCGGAATCCTAAAAACATGCAGAATCCAAATCATTTATTAACACCTAAGCACTTCAATAGGTACCTACTCTTGTAAAACAATTAACGTTAAAAATATTTTTTCGTTAGCATAAGCCTGATTTATTTTAATCATACCCTTTTTTGTATATCCACCAACAGAACAAGGCTTTTTAATTCTGTTATCGCTAAAAGAACAGCATAGCAAACAACGCGCTGCAAAATTCTAACTTTTGAAAAACAATTAATGAATGGATACAAGTTACCTTGCCTTAATTAATCACTATTGCATTGAGATATTAAATTAACCCTCTTAATTATCTACAAAAAGAGTAGCTCAATATTTTATTTGTTGTCGATTGTTAAATGATAAAAACATATTTTCTAATAGGATCTGAAGCGCGTGTAACTTATCTATTTTTTTTTCTCGATTTTTTTTTAAATATATTAATTACATTCCACAAATGTTAAAAGTGACCTAATATTTTAAATTACAAGCAATCAAATTGTTCAGACCATTTTCTTTCTCCTACTGCCGCTTTAACATTGAAACGAAGAAATAGCATTTAATTTTAATTACCTTATTGACGATAATAAGATTCGTGTTAAATTGTAATTTTTGTTTAGTATTTATTGTTTTACTTTTATATGTTACTTATAATCTTCAACTCGTATATAGTTGAGAGAAGTAATAACTTGAGAAAATGTTATAATATAACTTAAGCAAATTTCTAACCAAAGCACGAGAATTATAATTATAATATTACCTATTATCGAGAGTTATTGATTCATTCAATTTCTTGTTAATTTGTGGAAAATATTTGTTTAAATAAAGAAATTACATTTTCTCTAGTAAAGACTTCTCTCTAAGGGATACGAGTGTTCGTCTCTGTTAGAGTCATTGTTTTTCTATCAAACTGATAGAAAACATTAATGTGATAAATAAATGTGTGATTGTATAGTTTTAAAGTACTTACCTTTAATAAATTAATAAAACAAATTATAACACTAATTCGTGTTTTAATTTAATAACCACAAAAATGTCTTAAATTTTACATTTAAAAAATATATTTCATAGACTAGACATTAACTGATTCCATATATAAGGTGGAAGATTATTATATTCCAAGACTGTGGATTAGTTAAGTATACCGAACAACTTTTACTATGGGAGCAAAAATAATCAGTTACGGATAATGTTTTCGCGAATTCTGTATTACTCCTATAGTAAAAGTTCATTCATCCACCCTACGGAGTCCTGACACATAACAATCTTGCATATTATATTTGAATGAAAAAATAATTTAATAGGAATATCCTAATTTCACTTTAAAGTATCTTCATTCGGTTTAAAATATTAATTTAAAATTGTTAAAAGGTCATAAATCATATGATAATAAAAATATTTTTTTCAAAGCTACAGTTCATCTTTCACCAATTTCAACATTTCGTCTTCTTCATCAGTCCAAGCGTCAGGATCAGAACTCATCTGGCCCAAAGCTTCCATACGTCTTTCCATAGTTACCTTATCAAGGATATGCTCCATTTTCATATGCATGCAATCGTTAAATACTGCTGCGTATTCGCAAATTTCGAAAATATTTTCCACGGCCTGAGAGCATTCCTTAACCGCCATCTTTAATCTAAACATCACCTCACTGTCGTCGCCGTACACTTGCCTATTAGCTTCCAAAATACCATTTTCATAAATCCTATCGTTTTTTATAATGTTGTTCCTTTTTAATATACAGGCGACAAAGCATTTTCCTTGCATCGTTGATTGAGGTATTCTCTTCAAAAAGTTCTCTACGTCTACCATAGAAGCCTTCACTTGACGAGCACATTCCGTTAAATTCTTTCTGAACGGTTCGACATCATCATTCATCTTATTGAATTTCTCCAAATGATCTTCTTTACTCATCGGCTTAAACGACATCACCAAATAGAAAGCTGACACGAAAATTAAAATCAACATTATTGTTACGAAATTTATAAAGGTTCTATTCATTTTGTGGTTCCGATCCCGCGGCCTTTTCGCTCTGCTAGTCTTCATTGTTGCTCAGTTGCCCACTTTTTTCGGTTAATTGATCGTTAGCACGTTATGACTCAACCGGGCGACGTGTTTTCTCAATATTGGAACTCTGAATTACATATACATACGTTGAATAGAATTATCGCTAACATAAAATGTTTAAACGATCACTTGCACTTTTTACTGCAGATTGCGAACTGGAAATATTTTACAGGTTTTCGAATAGGAAACTAATTAACCTATTAAATGTTAACAAACATCCTCACTGGAAATAGAAATTAAAGTGCTATTCAATGTTGAATATTTAAAGCATCACGTTTCTAGGTAATATCAAGAATGTATTTGAGTCTTCTTTCTTTCATGATATACATAGATCTATCTTGCTTTTGACCCTTGAAATAATTTTTGTTAGGTTCAGTTTGCGATATAGTTGATAAGCAACTTTTTGAATGGATGGTCATAGGATGTGTGACCAAAAAGAATTATTATCTCTAGATTCTCTATGCTACAATGGGCACGATAAGCCGTTAATCTCGGCTGCACTTGATTCGATCGCATCCATAGAGAAAGCCTATGCCTTAGCAGTGGGTCCAGCCTATTAAATAAAAATGTTGATAATGATGATTATAAAGCTTATGGAAAAAAATAATGAGGAGCTTGATGGCGCAGTGGTTAGACCGTTCAGTCTGCGATACAGGGGTTAAAAAACTTTCGCTTATGTCAGGCATAGGATAGGCAACCAAAATTTTGCTCGATCATGTTTCGGAAAGTGTAAGCCGTTAGTCTCAGCTGCATTTGCAGTCGTCATTACCCACCAATATGTATGGGGCCAGTTTAGTATGTTATGGCTTCTCAGTCCATAGGGAGGATTGTGCTACCCCAGCTGTGAGTAATATTTTAGACAAAATGAATGAATGATTTAGTCCCTGTATTATGGAAATCTGAATATTCTACAACACCCGTACATTATATTTTACGGTGAGACGTAGTCGGCTTCGACGGTGATCATACGCTTTTTTGCATTTCCGATTGGGTAGAATAGTGGCCCTTATTATTTTTTTCTAAAAGACAGAACAGAGCGGCCTGCTAACTCCTCTAGGCATAACTCTAGTGTATGATAATAATACAGTAGACGAGGCAAGCATAGAATGCCACATCTTAGCGATACTATTCATTGGGTGCGAAGTAGGAGGTGGGAAACAACGAAGCGATAGATAAAGAGATATGAACGTGAACTTGACAGCAGGAGCTAACATCAAAGAGGCATTGATGTCAAAGTCAAAGTCAAAGTCAAAATAATCTTTATTCAAATAAACTTCTTAAAAGTACTTTTGAATCGTCCAACATTTTTTCCCTACCACTCGTTCAGGACGTCTTTTGGCTGATAAGAAGAACGAGCAAGAAACTCACCAGCTCTAATATGAGTAATGACATTTACAAAAACCATGTCATTACCAGATCAATACATTATAAACAGAGATAAAAAAAACTATGGTCTTATAATAATAACATAATCATTTAATAATAATGGAAACAAGATAATGAGTTTAGAAGTAATCACCTATCCAGTTGCTGGATCATCTCAAGTCCAAGCGTTCTTATCTGTTACATAATCGGATACGTAGATTTAAACTGCATGATATCTAATTGTTGTATTTTGCTTGGGACCTTATTGTAGAAGCGCACACAAAGACCCTTGAAAGAGTTATTAACTTTTTGCAGTCTAGACTGCAAATTGACAGGCACCGTTAATTTATTTTTATTTCTTGTATTAAAATTGTGTACATCACTTTTAATAGAAAACAAACTAATATTTTTACGAACGTACATTAAGTTCTCGTATATGTATTGAGAAGCAACAGTCATAATGTCTATTTCCTTAAATTTCTCCCTTAAAGAGTCCCTAATCCTAAGATTATAAATTGATCGAATTGCTCTTTTCTGAAGCTTACGAATCACAGTACCTATAATAAGAACAACACTAGAACAAACCTGAAACAGCAAATAAAACACATAAACATATAAACAATCAACTACACACAACAGACATACTACACTGCACCCCAAAAATGTATAGGACACCAGTGGTATCCCCCTCCAAAACTGTAAGACGCTTCTCACAAGAGTCTCCCTCACCACCTGAAAGGGAAGACAACCAAGACGCAGGCAAACAATTCACACTCAGAACAAATGTGAAAAAAAGGTCATTAGACATCAAAAGAAAATATGACACTAAAATAAAGTACGAAATGGAAAAAAGTACAATGACCGACCTGCTGAAGCAAGTAATGCAGCTATTCGAAGACACAGCCGAAACTGTATATAATCAGATGAGGAGAGATGTCAAATTAAAAATAGAGGAGATAGCAGATAAAGGCCTGACAACTATGCTAGAAATCAGTAGAAGAATAGCGGAAGGAAAAATGGAAACAGGAAAGGAAGAGGTTAAAGGGAAAGTGGAAGAGCAATTGAGAGAAATAAAGGAAATGATAGGAAATAATATGAAAGAATGGAGAGAAGAAAAGGAAAAAGAAGAAAATAAAAGGCAAGAAGCAGAAGAAGCCATCACAAATATAATTGAAAAAGAGATGAAAAATATAAATGGGAAAATTGAATCATCAGAAGACAATATAACAGCAGAAGTGATAGACCTGCAAAACAAAATAAAAATAAATCTTGAAAGTGAAATAGAAAGAAAAATTAGCAATATATTGGGCCCAGTAGAACGCTCGATGATTAAATGCAGTACAAAGGATATAATATATGAAATTCAAAGCGTCAAAAAGAAGGTGGAAAGTGAAATGGACAGATTGGTAAAGATACAGAATGAAACAGAGGGAGTAGAAAAAATAGTAGAAAGAATCGGCGAAAACACCAATACAATAATTAAAAAATTAGACTTAGCACATGAGAACGTGGGAATTGTAATAGATAATCAAAGTGGTATACGCGAGGAAGGAAAAAACCGAAGAAACAAGAGACGAAATTAAAAGAACAATAACGGAAAGCAGAAAAGAAGGTGACCAGGGAGGACGTACGGATTCGTACGCCAACATAACAATAGGGCGTAGGCATCAACCAATTGAGACACTGCACTCTATAACAATAGCATCAGAAAACGCAAATGAAACCAGCGAGGAAGTCCTGCAAAAGACGAGTACAATACTGGAAGCAGAAAAAGGAAAGGTGAGGATCGATAGAGTAAGAAAGAGCAAATACCAAAAAATCGTTATAGGGTGCAACCAAAGAATGGAAATAGAAAAAATAGAAGAAAAATTAAGGAAGGCAAAGGGACTCATAGTAGAAAAGATGACGAACAAAGACCCACTAGTCATTCTGAAGAATGTCATATATAAGATGACGGACGAAGAAGCCATAGAGAGACTAATAAGGCAAAACGGGGAAATATTCGGAAAAGAGGAAGAAAAAGAAATAAAAATAAAGTTTAGAAAGAAAACTAGAGACATAGAACGATGCCATATGATACTCCAGGTCAAACCAACGATCTGGAACAGAATGATAAAACAAGGGCACCTCTACATGGGGATGGAAAGGGTGAGGGTCGAAGACCAATCGCCCCTCATTCAATGTACGAGGTGCCTGCAATTCGGTCACGGCCGAAAATTTTGTACGGAGAGTGCGGACAGGTGCAGCCACTGCGGGGGCCCTCATCTCCGAGCTGAGTGCCCGGATAGAGGGGAACCTCCGAGGTGCTGCAACTGTGTGCACTCAAAACAGGATAATACCGACCATAATGCGTTCAGCCAGGAATGTCGTACTAGAGAGAAGTGGGAGTACCTGGCTCGCTCTACTACGGCATACATATAGGAAGGCATATAACAAGGAACACAAGAAATAAAAAACAAAATTATAAAAAAGACAGTCAATACACACAGAAATACAACAATATACACACAAAAAACACACACAAAGGAAAATCACAAGTCTAAAGGGAACATTATTGAAATGAGACCAGAGGACATAAAGACAACACAAAATACACAAAAACCATAACAGAACATATCATGGGATATGAAATGCTAATGAAAACACGAAAATATAATAAATAGGACATTTTGGGTAGTAATATGATAACAATAGGACTCTCAAAATAATATAAATACAAATAAAATTAGGATAAAGCGATTAAGGATAAGTAAGGGAAACAATGCCATGTGATAAGCATATGTCAAAGTAACCTAAAACATAAGGAATAAAAACTAAACAGAAATATAACAAGGACATGACAAAATAAAAATCAAAGGACAAAGTAAAATAACTAAAAGAAAGAATAAATAAAGAAAGAATGAAAATAAAATAAAATAGGAATACATAGAAATGACATTATAAAATAGTGGAAAATATTAAAGAAATAGACAAGTGAAGGGGTGAAATTTTCAATGAAAAATGAGAATTGAAAGGTGGGCTGCACAACTGCTAACGGGGCATGGAGGGTTTAGATCCTACCTCTATAAATATAAATGCAAGGATACCCCATATTGCGAATGCGACCCCCAAATAGAGCAGGATGTATTCCATGTTTTACTGGAATGCCCAATTTTAAACGTAGATAGGCACACTCTACAATCACACATAGATACACAACTTAGTAGACCAAACCTGGAAAAGATAATGGAAAATATAAAAGAAAGAGACATATTTGTAAAGTATGCTTGTAAGATAATAGAGAAGATAGTGAAAAGAAATAAAGATTAATTGAATAGATGGAACACAAACAGCAAAGAAAATCTGTGATATTAGAAATAAGAAGTAACCTGTAAAAGAACAATATATATACTCGTATGTAAGTTAAAAATAAAAAATGTAAACCAAACAGGTATATAAAAATATAAATGTAAAGTTATCAGATATAATTTTGAATAGAATAAAGAAAAATGTAAAATAATATAAGAAAAATATGTAATAATTAGATAAGAAAAATGTAGTAAACAATAAGATAAGCCAAAAGAGGGAAAAAAGAGCGATTCCCATAACAACAGATAAATCATATCTGTCTAAAGAAAATAAAAAAACAAGCATAAAAATCAAAAAAAGACAAAAAAGACAACCTGCTCAAAAGTGGGGGAACCTGCATTAAAAAAAAAAAAAAAAAAAAAAAAAAAAAAAAAAAAAACATAAGGAAATGTAATAGAAATAAGAGAAATGTTAAATAGCATTAAGTAAAAGATTTATATAACTAAAATGGAGTACTACTTGAATTATATAAATAAATGACTAACGTACAATGAAAATTTCAAAGATTGTAAGAAACACTAACATAAGGAAATGTAATAAAATTAAGAAAAATGTTAAATAGCATAAGTACAAGAATTATATAAGTAAAAACTGTAATACTACTAGAATTGTATAAGTAAAGGCCTAGATGGAAAATAAAGTAGCAAAGGAGATAAATCTAAAAAAAACAAAAATAGAAATAAGACTAAAATGTAAAAGAAATAAAGAGGGAAAGGTGTACAATCATTAATAAAAGAAATAAAATAAAACATAGAATAAGATAGAATAGGAGAAATAGATATAGATGCGATGGCCCTGGTCGCTCGAGGAGTAAATGAGGAATAGAATAAAAGAAAGACAAGGAATGAAGAATGAAAGAGTAGTATAAGAGATAGAACTGGAATGAAAGAGAAGGTAGCTATTAATAAAGGCCTGCTAAAAAGTGGGGTGCCGTGTAGGGCTCGGCCAAAAATGTAAGGAAGGGCATTTAAAAAAAAAAAAAAGAACTTGACAGCAGTGTTTTCGACTTTGTCATCTAGCATCTTTTCAAGTTAAAGTCAAAATATGTCTTTTAAATAAACTTAAATAACATTGCCTATCAACACGATAACTTTAGGATTTAGTGAGTTTAGAAGAAATCACTTATTGCTAGAATCTGTAATATAATCGGAGAACTTATAATAATGATGCCAAATTTATTCATCAAAAGACATGTCAAATGGTAAAATGGAACGTAGTATCGCTTTAGAGAGTTAGACGGTCGCATCCCAGACAGTTACTACCGATAGTGAAGGAGATATATGGGAAGCCCCAAGATCCTTCAAGCAGGTATGTGTGCATAGCTAGATATAAATTAGTGGGTTTACATTTTTATTTCATTCTCTTAAAATTCATAATAATTATAAAAATCTACATCTCAAAATATTTTTGTTGAAAGAAGCTTTCCTTGAAAAACTTTTAATCAAAACAGGTGAAACAAAAGAGAAAACACTTTATCGTTTTTTGGGATTAAGGCATCTATTGTTTTGGTAAAGCAACTAAAAAGTAACCATTATCAGAAAATGATTTCTGGCTAGAATGTAGGGATGTTAAAAAATAATCGATTTTTATTTTAATCGATTATTATTTCAATATAATCGATTTTTTATAATCGATTTTCCATGTCATATTAATCGATTTTTAACAAATCGATTAAATAAATTGCGCGGTTAAATCGATTTTCATAAATAGCATCATCTATGCGCCAAATGAAAAAACTCGAAGCATTATTACTTAAAAGTTGATTATATAAAAACGGCGCCATCTGTAGGTATGTAGGTTATATGATCTATTTCATGGCGACCGTGACCACGATGGTCCGAAGCTACAAAATAGTGGTGTGAATTGTGACATGGGACGGAGGTCAAGCTGTTAGTTATTTTCCTACATACTTATAATGGGATAGACAGCAAATGATTATTACTCCGAGAATTAAATTAACTATGTTTATCAATTGGATATAAAGAGAAGATGCAAGAAATTTTTAAAAGAAGTCATTGAAGAAACTGCAATGGTTGTAATACAAAAAGTAATTAAATGATAACGAAGAAGAAATGGCGGATAACCGAAGAAAAAAATATGTAAGAAGAATCTGATACTCAAGACGACATTAGAATAACATCGATGTTGACATCGATATCATCATCGTAAGTCCAACATCGATGTTTGATATTTATCGAAAACTAAACATTTACATTCATGACAATTTTTTTTTATTATTATATTTAATTTTTTGCGACAATAAGGTTGTCATTTTGATGGGGTGCTCATTTAATTTTTATTATTATATAACGTTTAAAGATACTGAGAATTTCTATCAATAATGATATTTGGTTTTATTATTCCTTACCTTGAAAGTTTAAAAGAACATTTGCTTTGATTTTTAGTTTTGAATTGTCAATTTTTTTATTCATGTTATTTTTTTTAATCTGATTAATTGTTAATATGAATCTTTTAGGTTTATTATTGGAATATGCAAAGCATGTAGGATTTTAAATAATAGAAAAAATCGATTTTTTTCGCAAAAATCGATTATTTATTTTCATTTAAATCGATTATTGACAAATCGATTTATAATTTATAAAAGATAATCGATTTTTATTAAATCGATTATTTTCTATTAATCTCACATCCCTACTAGAATGACGTTTGTATAAAGTACAACGTGGAATTAAGTCCTTTGGAAATAACATATTAATCAGTAAGCTAACAATGTCTTGTTATTTCTGATGTTGTAATGGAAAGTGACTTCATAGTCTAATTAAGTCACATTCCAATAAGACTTCTCTGTATGAAATAAAAAAGAGAGAAAAAGCAGCCCTTGTTGAGTTTCTCGCCAGTTCTTCTCAGTACAAGATCTCTCGCCGAGGTTTGCGAACCATTGGCATAGTTTTCGACTTTCACGAGTATTATGTTACAGCCTAGACTGAATTGAGTTTGTAGTGTTACAGCCTAGACTGAATTGAGCTTTCTGCGCTCCGTTTTTTGTTCTTCATACGAAACCTGAATTCGGATGAATCGAGTCAATGAGGAAGTATTTAAAAAAGCATTAAATCTCACTAGATGGCGCTACGGTACGTTCTTGATATCTCCATGACAACCCTTTTGCTTTTTATGTTTAAAAGTGAATTAGGTTTCAAAACTCAATAAACAACTCATATTCTATTTGTACTTTTTTGTATTTGTATTGATATCTAAGTTTCGAACTTTCATAATTTCAATTTTTTTATATGTTAGTTAAAAGGAACGAAAATTCTGACGAAAAGACTGTCTTTGGTCCATTCGATTCCTGCAAAAATCAAGTTTTGCCATCTAGTGGAGGTGCTTTGTTAGTGCTTTCGTTTTTTAAATACTTTCTCATTGAAGTTACGAGCAACCAATAAGTTGGATCATCTGAACATCGTTTCTTTACACGTAATATAACAAATAATTTACACTTACCATTCAAATAAATTAAAATTCATTTGAAAGTTAGCTTTTATAAGAAACATGAAACGATTGATATTTATTAGTTTTCGATACTCAATTTACTTTGTTTATCTTTACATCTTTTGAAAAAGTGACTGCAGTTACTTTTTTTGCCGTAAATTATTCTCTAAAACTAAGACTTTGAAGGTTTTAAAAGAATATAGCAATATCCGTTATTAACTAAAAGTGCAAAAAATGTAAAAACACCGGTTTTGAAAACGTAAGTTACTTTTTTCTGTAGAGGAACCGTAGATTTCGATGTGGTTGTATTTTTCGATGTCGTTATAACGATATCAATATTTTTCGATATATATAACGATATTTATGGGCGTTGTTATATCGATAAACATTGGTTGATCGTTATCGTCACAATAGTGATGCGAATCGAATAAGATTTCGTGACTAGAGTCACTCGAGTACAAAAATTGCAAACGTGATACTCGAGTGAGTTTTCTCTTAATAAATTTAAGTAAATACCTATTTTATATTAATAAAATACATATTAATGAAGAAGGTTGGAGAAATTTACACGGAGACAGCACTTAGTGTTAAAAAAAACCATATTATTAAACAGAGCCTTAGCAAAGGTTAACCTAGTACGAGGTTCTACGGGAGTAACTTTTATCCTACAAAGTATGTTTGCATATTCACTGTATAATAAGCATTTGGACTATTACTAAAATTGCAATTTTAGTATAAAGTTACCCTGGCGCTAAACGTTATTTAAAAAATAAGCGGCATAGATAAGTAAATTAGAGTAGCGAAGTGAAATC